GCAGTTTCCATCTTGATGTTGTCTCCCAACAGGCCTCGTAATAAAGCAAACCAAATAAGAGGGCTTCGTGATTGCGATTAACATTTTGTGAGATTTTGTTGTAGGGAAGTTAAGGATAGACAATTTTAAAGTCCCTTTGTAAGTTGTTGACTTTGTACTTCTCTGCGGTTGAGTGTGGGGCATTCTACAGCAATAAAAAAAGTTAAAATCCAAATACATGTTCTTCCCACTTTGTTCAATTAAGAATCATGAATCCACAGTTATTCAGTGGTAGTCATGGGAAAACAAAACTTTTCTGCCTTTCTTAGGGCAGTTTGCAGTTTTCTAATTATATTCTGTCTAGAAAGCGGAAGTATTCCTGATTGTAACATATATTAAGTGGAAAGAGTTGCTGTTTCCCTTCCTAGTGCAATAATAATATTTTCATCATACTCTAGTGTATCAGTGTTAAAATACTGTCCAAATATTTCAAGGTGTTGAAAAATGGAAAAATTCAACCTTAAAGATTTTGCAATTGCTGTTTTTTCCTCTCTCAGTTCTAAGAACAGATTCAGAATGAAGCATTTTCAAGTCTGCAGGCAAGAACTATTTTATGATTGTAGCTATTCTGATATTCTAAGTGCACTTTAATAGATTATCTTCTTAATGTAGTATATTACATAATGATTTTTTCTCAGCGTGTTATGAGTTTATCCTTCAATTAAGAAAACAAATCACGCTTGTTCCTAAGTCAGATTTTTTTTCTCCTTAAAATCTATGCTATAATGTGATTCATCAATATGATTAAAACCATTCAGTGTTTTGTAGGACATTCAACAAATATATTTGAACAACTCTTTGTAGGAAATTCTGTTTGAGCCTTGTGTATTTATTTGTTCCTTTTCTCAAGGTTACGTTAAAGGTGTATAGACTGTAAATCAATTGGGACTATGCTGATTAAAATGAAAACAGTAAATACAATTTAAGGTCTTGAATGGGATTATAGGATTAAAATGAATGAAAACTGCTGTTGTGTTAGAATTGAACTTTCCGGATCAATATCATCCTTTGATTTTACTAATGAACAAAAACGAGGAAATAAAGTAATGAGTAGAACCACTCCACACGTGTGGGTCAGCTGTTTACCTCTTTGTTTGGTTTAGGTCATTGTAAAGAAATGGCAACCAAGTATTTGTGGGATTTAGGATGAAAGTACAAAGCAGGTAAACTTGCCGTGAATCAGATCATCAAAAAGCTTAAAGCAAGCTAACACACTGTTGAGTAAAAGCTGTCCTGTTCACCTGGCCTGGCACCTTCCTTAATGGCCAGGTTTGAGTTGGTTTTTAGCTGACCCATGGTATTGTCTTCCCGCTCCGTTTTATCTTCCACTGCCCCCATCCATACTCTTGAGCTCTGGCACCATGGCATGTCTGTGGCTGGATATCTCAAGGAAGAGGGGCCAGCATAGGCCTTCAAAGCAGTTTGTGGAGAGATTCCTAGATCTTAGGGACCTTGTTATGAGAAGATCTAGGGCAGGAGTAGGGTAATATTGCTCCCCCCAAGAAAGAAATGTGTGGAGAACTGGCTCAGTGGGTAAAGTGCTTACCTTGCAAGTATGAGGCCCTCAGTTCAGATCCCTAGAAGGAAGGTAAAAACAGATGCTGTAGCTCTAGTCTATAATCCCAGCACTTCTATAGCAAGATGGGAGGTGGAAACAGAAGAGTTCTGGGAGGCTCGTGGGCCAGCAGACCTGGTGTATGCATCCATGAACAAGAGACTGTGCTCAAACAAGGTAGAAGGTGGGGACTGACACTAAGGTTTTCCCCTGACCTTAGCTTGTGGCATGACACATGTACATACACATACCCCATGAAGAGATTTTTTTTAATTTATTTTTTAAAATATTTTTATTTTATGTGTATGAGTGTATTGCCTGCATGTACAGTGTAAGTGCACCATGTCCTGCAATACCTGAGGGAGTCAGAAGGCGGCATCAGATTCCCTGGAACTGGAGCTACAGATGACGGATGGCTGTTAGCTGCTATGTGGGTGCTAGGAATCAAACCCATATACTCTGCAAGAGCAGGCCGTGCTCCCAACCGCTGAGCCATCTCTCCAGCCCCAAGATTTTTTTTTTAGGAGAAAGAAGTGTACCAAGAAGAAAGTCCTGTGAACTTTGAGCTTCCCAAAGATGGTGATCTTAGGCCTTCCCTGCAACCCCAGCCAAGTAAATCTGAAAATGCTATAAACCAAGAGGTTCTATATTTATATGAATCCCTGATCACCATTTTGGGGCAGGGGAGGTGGGCACAGGCACCTTCCTCAATTGCTTCTCTACCCCATTTTTATTTTTTAAGAATTTAGTATGTGTAAACAATATGATATCTACCCCCCATTTTGCCCTCTAACTCTCCCTCTATGTCTGACTACATGTCTACCTCCCAACTTCATACTTCATGTCCTCTCTTTTTAAAAAATAACCCACTAAGGCCATTCAGTGTTGTCCATATATACATGGTTGTGGGGCCCTTCACTGGAGTATAGGCAACCCCACCACCACCACCACCACCAAAGAACAGTTTTCTTCCCAGCAACTATCATCCACCAATAGCTCCTCAGGACTGGGGCCTCATGAGTTCCTCCCCCATGTATGCTTAGAATTTTGGCTGGCTTGATCTTGGGCAGATCTTGTGCAAGTAACCATTTCAATTTTTTGAAACAGGGTCTCTGACTGAATCTGGAGCTGATTCTCAGGTACTGTTTCAGTTAGACTGGCTGACCTGCAAGGTCTAGCGATCTTGCTGTCTGTCTCTTCCCTAGTGGTGGGATTATAGGCATATGCTGCCCATCAGCTTTTTAATGTGGGTGCTGGGGGTCAAACTGAGATCATTATGCTTCCTCAACAAGCTCCTTATCTGATGCGCTATCTCCCCAACACCCATCTTGTTTTTTGAGACAAGGTCTCACTGTTTAGGCATTAGGCTAGGTTGGCTGGCCAGCCAGGGGGCCCCAGGACAATCTTCTGTCTCATTTCTCCAGTATTGGGATTACAAACATATGCCACCACATCCAGCTTTGCATGTTGCTGAAGATCAAACTCAGGTCCTCATGCTTGCATGGTAAACACCAACTGAGCTGTCTTCTTTTCCCCTCAATGGGTATTTTTGAAGCACTGTACTGACCTGACCCTCCCATCACAGTACAGTGGGCAATCCTCTTCTGGACAGAAGATGTCTGGCTCAGAATTCCTCAGAATAGTAGCATTGTACAGGCCTGGAGGATGGATACCTCATGTGTGCTGGGCACTGCTGAGGATTTCTAGGTAGCTTCTGATTAGTAGTTGGAATAGGGCATTTGGATCCCTTTCCCCCAGTACTTAGTAATTCCACAGAAAAGTACTAAGGGGAAAACAAAACAGGTGGAACATTGAATACTACACAGAAATCTTTTTTTTTTTTTTAAACACAAGTGATCCTGTTGTTTAGCCCTCTGAATAGCTGAGACAGTAGATGTATACCACAATGACTGAACAACT